TGCTATATCGCTAGCTAGATTGTCGTATAATAACATCTCCTGAGCTTGCAGGAGTTTATTGTCCCCTACCGTACTCTTATTAGAGTACTCAGCTCGCTGGGCATAAAATTCTATCATGTTTGATATTGGTGTGCTGTCGAATTTCGGTGCCACAAGACTTGCATCGCCTCCTCGTTTTCTGCACCTATAAGAGCTTCCAGTATATTGAGCTGTTTCTTGAGTTTGTGCTTATGCAAGCCCCCTTTGTTTTTTTCCGCTATAAAATCAAGTTTTACTTCTTTTTTTAAACTTCTGTATAACTTTGTGCAATCATAGATGCTGGTTTGAACTCTTTTGGCTCTTCGTTTGCCCTTAATTGCCACCACTTCGATCTCGTCCCCTTTAGGAGCCTCGTCATCTTCAGGAGCTTCGCCCCCCCTGCCTGAGCCTTGCCCTCTTCAAGATCCTAGTCTTTTCCACGATCGCCTTCAGTATATGTTGCCCTAAGGCCCCTAACCGGTGTATCTGCCTCCTTACTCGCAATCCCGAATGCATTAACTCATCTCTCAGAGACTCCCACACGGTTACTTTTATTTCCTATGTGAGTCTTTAATTTTGTTTTCAATAAGAAACTTATTTAAGAAACGCAAAGACCGGGCCCTGTGGGGCATTAGTCCGCGGGAGCTACGTAGGAGAATAACAGTGGTGAGTGGATAATGACTTCTTAGTCGACTTCTTATCAAGAAATGCCTTGTTCTTCATAATACGGGATCATCCCGTTATTCCATATTCCTTATTCAAAGTATGTTGACTTCTTAATTCATTCCATATTCCTTATTTAAGGTATGTTGACTTCTTAATTCATTCCATATTCCTTATTTAAGGTATGCCGATTTCTTAATTCATTCCATATTCCTTATTTAAGGTATGCTGACTTCTTAATTTATTCCATATTCCTTATTTAAGGTATGTTGACTTCTTAATTCATTCCATATTCCTTATTTAAGGTATTTTGACTTCTTAATTCATTCCATATTCTCTATTTAAGGTATGTTGACTTCTTAATTCATTCCATATTCCTTATTTAAGGTATGTTGACTTCTTAATTCTTAATTCTTATTAAGAACTGCGTGATTTCTTAATCTTACAAAATTCTTAATTAAGCTCTAAAAATTTCCAAAATTCAATTTGTCTTCGACCCATATTTATTAATTTCTGAAATCCATAATTGTGTCATATTATGTATTTCTTTAAATAATTACGGCTATTTTCGCCCTTCATATTTTTCTCTCTCGAAATTATGTAGTATGGTCTGTCGTGTACACGTCGTGTACACTGGACAGTACTATGTAAATGTGTACACTGTACAGTGTAGTCTGTACTCTGTAGAGTGTAGACTGTAGACTCAGTAGAGTGTAGAATGAAGACTCTGAATAGTGACGACTGAGTCTGACCAATGACGAGTCACGAGTGACGACGTTAGAGTATTTATAGGGAGAAGTCTCACTCTCTGGTCACTTTCTCTGGTGGTTGAGTGTAGAGCATAGTATAGACTGTAGTGTAGAGTGTAGACAGTATAGTAGTGTAGACACTGTAGAGTGTAGACTTAGTTTAGACTGAACTGTAGTTACATCCGTATTTATTTATGTATGTATTTAGACTGTATTGTCGTATTGAGTGTATTTATTTTGGCCTGGAGGCTACTGGCTGCAAACCTGTAGACGTAGTTGAGACATACTTGTGTTGGGAACGAGGCGGCGAGGCCGAAAAAGCCACCATTCCGCCTCACATCCCGCATCACGCATAGCGCCTCACGCATCCCGCATCTGAAGCTTGAAGGATTCAATGATCCGATAAATAGATTTGGTCGGTTGGCGGTGAATACTAAATAAAATGGATGTTAAATACTGCGGGGTCTGCGGCGTTACGTACATTGTTTTGTTTTAAAAAAAAAGGGGTTAATTGTATTATTATTCCCTACCAGGCCCAAGGCCCAGCAGGCCCAGCCCTTTCCTAAGCTTTCATAAATATGTAAATAGTAAATAGTAAATACGTAAACGGTACGTATGTAAATTCAAAATTGACTCATTTTTTTTCTCGAGATTTAGTGCATATTGTCGGTATGCAAATTTGAGTCTTGGAAGTTTTACTGGTTCAAATTAGCATCTATATTGTTTTGGTTCTATTTATGTATCTACACAAAATGGTTTTTTTTTAAAGTATTTGTTTTTGTACAAAATACAAATATAAATAAAATCCTAAGAATCCATAGGCTTCTATTTATCACGGCACTATTATTGATATTTGTTTGGTCTACTCTTTAGGAGAAGAAAAAAACAAAGCTCAATTTGACATTTGAGAGAGAAAAATAAAAAGAGAACTATAAAAGGGCATCTCGAGACTCGAGGACAAAATCATTTCTGATTCTTGACTCCTGACAGCCCTGAGAGAATTCCAGAAGTCCACGCAACTGTTCTTTTTTTAACAATATCGCAACACTCATCAGTGCTGTCTCAGTCTGCCAAGTCCCAAAAGCTACGTTATAAAAAAAAGGTGAGATTTGTATGTATGTGAAATTTTATAAAACGACAAAAAACAATAACACAGTGTCACTGTGTCAGTGACTCGGTGTGTCTATGTAGGTCTTTTTTAAATTTATATGCAGGCCCTTTTCAGGGCAACCGCGCTGCCTCAATGCTCAGGCTGTCAAACGGAAACCATGTTTTGTATCAAATTTAAAAAAACAACTTCTCTTTTGTTTTTTAAAAAGAAAAAAGAAAAACATAAACCAGTCTATATGTATGATAGAACCATAGTCTCCTCTACTCTCTAGTAGAGAGAAAGAATATAGAGGAGGCTATGGTAGAACTGTGAAAAAAACATGTTGAGTAGATTGTCACAATCAGTGATTAATTGACAATTTACGACAGTGATGAGTGATGACTGTTGACAGTCAAATGTCATTGAACTGTGACGACTGACGAGTGACGACTGACGAGGCATGAACCGACCATTTACGTTTTACGCTATAATTTAACTTAGAAATAAATAAACGGTATAATTTCTAAAAACAAAGCATGTAAAAAATATATAAAATACATTGTTTATTATTTACTTTGATTTGTAATATTTTGGATGTCGTCCCAATGTTTAGGTTCTGGTGCAGAAACTGCAGATACATCCCATTCGTACATATTTAAAACACTCAGAACTGTGTATATACTGAAAAAATAATAATAAATACATAACGGGGTTCTACACTGATAGTGATGAATCAAAAGACTCAATAGAATACCAAATATCGTCATAGGCTGTTATCATATTTCGTATTTTTACATATTCTCACGGAACATTTGTTTAGCTCCAGTTTTCGATCGACTGTGTCTGTCCAATCGTGTATAAAATAATCGGATGCGTGTGTATGTTCGGTAACATAAGTAGTCTATATGAGTACAACCATGGCAACGCTAAACGATTCATTCAGAGTCACTCGACGGGACAATCGTAATTTAAACGCTAAAAAGCACAGCACCAGTGCGAGCTTCAAGACTGGGGAGGTTAAAGCTGAGCAGCCTTCTGAGGACGAATTGCGGCTTTTGAGAAGCTTTGATTTGGAGTCTGAATATGGTCCTAATGTGGGTAAGTTATTTCGCTTTCTTGCTATATGTAGCAATTTCAATTCAGTCGGTTCTATATACTATCAGCGCGATATTTCGTTTGTGGCCTGTGCAAGTATCTCGGGTCGGACTTTATTTCTGTACTGTACTGTAAGTATTCAGGATTGTGCTACAGACTTTTAGAGAACAATATTGAGATAGTACTCACAGGATTAGTTTACTAACAACATAAATCCGAGCCTTTTCCGCAGTTTCGATAAAAGTGATGTTGCTTGTCATCAAAACTTAGTTATTTGTACAGATATTACGGACTGGGAATGTGTACCTAAGTTTTTTTGTGGTCTATATATTGATCGCTTGCTTTATTGTTTGGATACCACAAGGAATGACTCGGAGACAAAGATGGGATAGAGCTGCTAAATTTGGAAAGGAGCCTGATCAAGCCATACTTGACCTTCTGAATAGGTAAGAGCTTTTGGCGAGGTAGCTGAATATACTTTGCAGTTTCCATGGTTGTATAGTTCAATTTGTATATCTATTTCGCGAATATATCTTTGTGCAGTTCTTTTACATTTTTGTGCGGTGAAATAGGTCCATGAGACATTTGTGGTTAACAAAGATTAACATGTACTTATCAAATCATGTACGATCTTTTTAATACGCATGATGCATGTATATGTTCATAACATACACACACACACGCACACGTGTACACACACACACACGTGTACACACACACACACATACATACACACACACACACACACACACACACACACACACACACACACAC